GTTAATATATTTTATCTTGTTTGTTTATTTCATGTTATACATTAAATTTGTGAATTTTAAATCATTTTTTTATTATTTTTCCTCTGATCATGATTTATCTAATTGATTAATATATAAATTTAAAGATTTAATTGAATTTTATTATTCATCTTTCATTATTAATTAAGATGGTCAAACATAAGCATTGATTTTTACTAACGATTCCAGTAGTTTCTAATTTTAAAACAATTATAGATTTTTTTTGGAATTAAATGGAATTTAAATTGTGTTTTTCTCTATTTCATTAATCATTTATTATTTTTTTTGTAAAATTAGTCCAATTAATATTTTTCAGAGTTAAAACCCAATGAAGGGCCTACGTCTTAATACACCAAAAAATGATTATATGTCCTTAAAGCATTTAGAAGCTTGCTACAACTCAAAGTGAAAGTTCAAGGAGGTTGTTTGACCTCAATGAACTTTCCCAAGGTGCACCAAAAAAGGGGATGAATTGGTACTTTTAGAAAAATTACAACTAAAAAAACTTTTTGCTAGAAAAATGATTTTTGAAAGTAATTTTTAATTAGTAATTAATCTAACACGTGTCAAAGCAAATTAGAGTTTAAAATATTTTTCATTTTTAGGACATAAATATATCAATAAGCATATGAAAATTTTCTTTTTAACAAACCACAAATTAACGTAGTTGCAGTTGATAGTAAATGATGAGATTCGTACAATAAATTCAAATTGCCAAAATAAAAAGATAAAATTTAAAAAGCAAAAAAAAAAAAAGAGAATACCATTGATTTTATAGTGGTTCGGTCAACCTTGACCTATGTCCACTCCCCGGGGCCCTGCAATGTGTGTATTGTACTAACTCTTTAATGTTTTTCCTTTTACACCACAGTAAGTAATAGAAGCCCTTACAAGAATCACTTCCACCAAATTTGGTGTAGTGGAGAACCCAAAGCTATGATACCCTCCTAATGATGGCAGCAAACCTTCAATCCTTTTTCTCCAGCTAAGAGAAGGTAGGGAACCTTGAATCCTTCTTTACCCTCCTTGTGATAGAAGAGAACCATAATCCATTTCTCCCTCCTGGAGAACGTAGAGAACCATAGACTTTTAACTGTGAAGTTACCATCTTAAGAGAATCTTCAAGAACTCACTAAGGCCATAGGAGGAAGCTAGGTGCAAGCTTTCCTATGACAAATTTGTAAAACCCCTCACACTACTTCTCCCTTATAAATAACCTCACCTTCTTCCTCTCTAAACCTCAAAGCTCTCAAGAAAAGATCTCCCTGAGAGTTTCATTAACAACAAAAATTCATTATGAAATGACATCAAAATGTTGCTTAAGTATTAGTCTTCTAAAACCAAAATTTTTTATTTGGTCATCTTTGATCGTACAATACAATCTGGGGTCCAGTTTGATCAGTTCAAAAAAAAGACCCATCCAGTATGATGATAACTGTCATTCCAAGGAACTGTTCAATTTTAGCAAATATATCATACATTACGATCATAACTTCATACAATACGATTAGTTTAATTTTTCTCTATTCGTATAGGATGAACATGAGGATGATTAAAAATCATCTCTATTGAGCGTTCAGTACAATTCACATCATACATTATAGTTAATGTAATAGTATGATATAGAGATATTTCTATATTATTAGTTCAAAAATCAAGGTTTTATCTGGTATGATCACTAGCACATTTTAAAAATTGCCTCAATCCTTAACAAAACCAGTTTAACCCAGGGAGATTATTTTAGGAAGAAGCAATGCTAATCTTCCTATAATAATATTAGAATTCAGCTTTTTCTAGAAGGCACAAAGACTTATAGGTCTAAAATCATTCCAATGGTTTACATGCTATTTCATAGGGATCAAAGCAATGTCATAAGAAGAAAAAAAATTAGGATAGGTTATACCATTTAAATATCTCTAACAGCTACCACCACATCCACTTTAATGATTTTCCAAGTTTTCTGGAAAAAAAAAAAAAAAACTTTCTAGTGAATCCATTGGAGCCAACAACAAAATCAAAATTCATTGTATTAATGGTATCAAAAATCTCTTTCTAAATGGGAGAGGAGTGAGATAAATATTATCTTGCTCGCTAATATACTTAGGAATGATGTTAGGATTATTAATAGGATCAGGGAAAAAATCCTTATTAAAAATACTTTTAAAAAAATACACACCATAAATAGCAATCAATTCACCATTATTAGAAGTGATCCCATTAAAATTAGAGATTTTATGAATTTGATTCACAACCTTTTTTTTACTAGCAATGGAATAAAAAAAATTGATATTTTTATCATATAAATTTAAAAGCCACTTTTTGACTCCAAAAAAGTTCTTCCTTCTCCTAAAGATGAAACAATAATACTTTGGCCTCATTAAGGAGTAAATTATCACTAGAAGGGTTATTCAAATAAAGATTATAATAATAATTAACATCCCATTGAGCCACCAAAATTTTAGTTAAAATATTTAAAATATATATATTTTTCCATCAGCTTAACTTCTACTTCAATCTTTTTAGTTTGAACCAAAGTCTCAGAATACCATAAATATTATCATTATGATCCAGAAGAGACTGTCCATTAATCTCCATAATCTTATAAAATGACCAATCTAAAACCCACATATATTGAAATCTAAATGAAATGGGAAAAGAAGACTTCTGAAATTTAATACTCAGAACGACACAGGAAAGATTAGATAATGTTCTACTTAAATCCATAACATGAGTCAAAGGGTAAGCATAAATCCAATTATTATTGAAAATAATATGATCAAAGTCTTTGCAAGATAATGGATTTATTCCAAGTAAACCACAAGAGTAACCATTATTATGAAATTAGATTCCATAATCATATTATTAAAATCTTCTATAGCATGAGAGTTGAGAGACTTGCCGCCAATCCTTTTAGAAGAATTTCATATTGTATTTAAATCACCACCTGTAAAACAAGGAGCATATGAATTAGTGGAAATTTTATATAAATGATTCTAAAGGCTCACTGTCCTAGATCGAGAGCAAGAAGCAAAAATAAAAAATCCACAGTAATTAAATTGATAAAAACCAATTTGAGTATGAACAATCTGAGAGTAATTAAAAATAATGTTGACACTTTTAGGGTTATTCCTAAAAATCTAAATTTTCTTAGTACAATTAGCAAAAGTCATAATAAAACCAAGACGGATGCAAATAGAAACAGATTTAGAACAAATAAGAGGTTCAATTAAAACTAGAACGATAATTTTGTGTACCCTACAAAGATTCCTAACTCTAAGTATAGAATCAGAACCCACACACCCCTCACATTCCAAAATAGAGCATTAACCATTAGTAGCATTTAAAAACATTTGAGCCCTAGTAGAAAGGGAAGTGGGTAAGAGATCACTTTTGATATTTTAATGTTTCTTTTTTTGCCAGTTTAATGAAATAGTCATCATCTTTAATGTTAGCACCATTAATACCAGGAGAAGACATGGAAAAAATAATCTTAACAAAAGAATCATTAGGTTCACCAACAATAGAATCATCACTTGAATTTTGGAACAATTTCTCCTTCCTCACAAGCATCATTTCTAGTGAAGCAAGAGTATCTAAGGCCATACAATTTGAACCATTATCATTACCCGAGCTTAAAATAGATTCATAAATCTTTTAGTTAACTTTATTTAAATCACATGGGGCTTGGGATTGATTATGATCCATATTTCTTTCACTCTTATTAGCAACCAAATTAGATATATGGGTACAAAATAGATATTTCTTTCACTCTTATTAGCACGTAGCACACGATAATTAAAGAAATGAAAATTCAAATGCGGAAAAGAAATCCAAATAGGAATAATTGGAGTTTCTTCCTTCATATTAGAAAAATGAAATTTAAGTAATTAAGTATTATTGATTTTTTATCCAAAAAAATTCCAAACCACTTGAATTCATCACCATAGGTCAGAAATGACATGTAAGGATGATTGTAAAAGTTCTAAATCAGTTGGACATTAAATTATGTTTTTTTTTATTATTTTAATGATTTAAATAAAAAAAGTTCTTTTCTATTTTTAATTTATTTTATTTTAAAGTTTTTTTAGGAAACCTTTATTTTCCTCCAAAATAACATTTAATTTAAAATTTATTGAAATTTATTTTAGATTTTTCCTATTTAATAAAACTTAATTGTGATTTATTAAAAAACTTATGCTACTAATGAAACGTGAATTAATCTTCGCTAATTGACAACCCAAGTGACATCCAAATCGCTTGAAATTTAAACCATGAGTTAATCAAACTTTCCGAATGAAAGCAACATGGAAATTTGGAAGGTAAAACAAAGCTTGTAGATCTCCAATTGTCATCAATTGGAGTAAGTTTATTCAAAGCCCTCCAAATGAAAACAACAATAGTAGGTGAATTACTTTTATGTCAAATCATAGAAAAAATAGGAGACACTAGTTCTTACATCTTATTTGATTCCAAGTAACTTTCAGAGAAATCATACCAAAAGCATAATGATTGAATAAAATACAATCCTCATCATTTAAAATTAAATAAATTTTTTAATTTTGATCAACTAAATTTTAGCCTTATTACAATAGAAAATCACGGTATTGAGTGGAAGAAGTTGCACTCTTGATTAGTTGAAGTCACCGACTTGATCAGCAAACTGTCAAATTGCTTGTGTGGATGTCTATAATTAGTTTATTCTGGCCAGTTTATGAATAGCTTGATTAGTTTAGGATGGTCGCGGAGATTTCAAGATAACGTGACTTCATCAAGTTAATTCGATTAACTCAAGATGAACAAATAACCAAAAGAAAGTTTATCACAGTTACAAGATTATTTACGATACGTGCTTTCTGCTTTTGGCTCGTTCTTAATCTCATGATAAAAAAATTAATGAAAGCATTTATTATAAATAAAATCAACCTCATTCTTGAGATCTGCCCGCCCGGTCAGCCCGATGAGCACGCAACTACGCATAAGCCAGCAATGGCAGTTAGTTAGGTTTGGTGAGTTAGCTCATCTCCAAGCCTACTCATATCATTCTCGTTTCCCACCTGCTTTCATCTCGCCCTCTTTCCTGATTTACTCGCATTCCTCTCTCTCTCTCTCTCTCTACCACTCTGCATGGACTTGCCAATCAAATCCGTGCCGGAATCTACTGGAAACAGCGGCCGGAATGCCCGCTACTTCATCGAGACCAACTCCGTCTCCTATGAGCTCCCCGCCGGGAACTCCTCCCACAAAACCATACTAAAAAACGTTACCTGCCAGGCCCGGCCTGGCGAGCTCCTGGCCATCGTCGGTCCTAGCGGCGCCGGCAAATCAACGCTTTTATCCGTGCTCGCAGGGGCCATTCAGCCGGGAAATGTCTCCGGCCGTGTACTCGTCAACGGCCGGGAGATGGAAGCATCCTCTTTTAGCCGTATCTCCGGTTACGTCACCCAAGACGATACCCTCTTCCCTATGCTCACCGTCGAGGAGACCCTCGCCTACAGCGCGCGTTTTCGGCTTGGCTCCACGCTCCGAGAGGCCATCCTCCGCGCTCGCGCGCTGCTTCTACAGCTCGGCCTTGTGCACGTCGCGAGTTCGAGGATCGGAGGGCCAGGTACGACTGGAATCTCCGGTGGCGAGCGACGGAGAGTTTCCATCGGCGTCGAGCTCGTCCACAACCCAGCGGTGCTCTTGCTAGACGAACCCACAACTGGTCTTGATTCTTCCTCGGCACACCTCATTGTTGCAATGCTCAAGTCTATGGTGGCTGCTAACGGCAAGACGGTGATATTCACCATCCATCAACCCGGGTTTCGGATCCTTGAGCTTTTAGACCGCGTCGTTCTCATCGCCGACGGCGTCCTACGGTACCAGGGGCCGCTTTCTGTACTTCAAAAGTGGCTTGAAGAAGGGGGTCACGTAATTCCTCCTCATGTGAATGTGCTTGAGTACGCCATGGATGCCATGGAGATATTAGCAATCGAAACGCATATGTTGGGGAGCTGCAGAGTTCCATACTCTGTTTTGAGAGAGAATAGAGAAAAAAATAAATATTACTATGCTAATTCTCCAATAAATGAAGTACTGATTCTCGCCGAAAGATTCGCCAAGAATATGGTCAGAACAAAGCAGGTCTTTGTTGCGAGAATGATTCAATCAGCGGTGGCCGGATTAGGACTTGGAACCATATTTATGAATGCTGACAACCAACAAGCTAAAGTAGGCTTCTTTGCCTTCAGCCTCACTTTCCATCTGTCTTCCGCCGTGGAAGGCCTTCCCATCTTCTTACAGGAGAGGCGGATCCTCATGAGAGAGACTTCCCGTGGAGCTTACAGAGTCACATCGTATGTAATTGCTAATTCACTTGTTTTCCTTCCATTCCTCTTCGCCGCTTCAATTCTCTACGCTACACCGGTGTACTGGCTAATCGGTCTGAGGAGGGAAATCGACAACTTTCTTTTCTTTTCGCTTGTTATTTGGCTGGTGATGTTGATGGCAAATGCCTTTGTTGCTTGTTTCGGAGCACTGGTTCCGAATTTTATTATGGGCAATTCAGTGATCGCAGGGCTTATGGGCTCCTTTTTCCTGTTCTCTGGTTACTTCATATCGAAGCAGAATATACCCAGGTACTGGATATTCATGTACTATCTTAGCTTGTTCAAGTACCCATTTGAAGCTTTCTTGCTTAATGAATTTGGAGGAGAGAAGGGGAGAAAGGAGTGTATACAGAGTGGAAAAGGAGGGTGTCATCTAACAGGAGAGATGCTTTTGAGACAGCAAGGAATGGAAGAGTCTCACAAATGGAGTAATCTTGGTGTGATGTTTGGGTTCATTTGCGTGTACAGAATTCTCTCTTTGGTGATTCTTTGGATCAGGTGTCTTAAGATTAGAAGATAAGTCTTTTAGTACAGCTTGCTACCTTCGTAGGATTTTAGAAGTTAAAGGTATTTTGTGCATTTCTTTCTTCGTTGTTTTTTATATTTATACGGCATATGCTATATTTATATTAATGTGTCTATGTTGACAAAAAAAAATGTTATTTTTAAATGTCGATTTAGTTACTACAGTTTTATTTTAGAATTCTTGTGTGTCATGACTGATAAACTTCTCAAGAGTTTTACAAGTTAAGAAAATTGCAAGCTTACATCATGCTTGTTAAATTTTTGATAAATATCTTAAATTTTATTATCAAAATTTTAAAACGAATTACTTCTTTATCAAGTCAGTGTTTTAAGTTTTTTTAGGTAGTTATCGTAATATTTATGGTGTAATAGTAGTTGATAAATATTGCTTAAATGTTTGTGGGGAAAAAAACTAAAGTGTTTTTAAAAGCTGTTCAAGAGAATGTTTAATATAATGATTGATAAAGAAGCAAACATTAATCATGTAGCACTTGATCGAAATACAGTGTTTTTCTTTCTATCTTCTTTCAGCCGTAAAACAAAAGGATGGTTATGCACTTTCTTCTTGATGTTAGACATTGGTTGTAGCTCACATCTAGAAAGGCAAGAAGTCTCTCTATCATTATGAGGAGGACTTTGCAGTTGACATGGTCAAGAAGTGGGTCAGCAGAGAATGCCAAACTTGCCATCTAAAACATTTGGCAGAAAATATGATTTTGTGGCTCGAGCATCATGTTTATGAAAAACAAGTTATCAAAAACGAATCAATTTTTGTGGAGTTGTGAAGATATTACATGCGGATTGTTTTGTGACAAGTCAAAGAAAACATATTATTTGAAGTACTTTAGGATTAGTGTTTCATTAATTGAGATCTAATTTTATTTCTTAGTATGACTTCCAAAAATACCACATATAAATCTTCCCTGCAAAACTTATAAACGAAAACTTCACTAAGATTTTTAATAGAATGATTATGATAATTTTGTTAAAAATGATTTAAATTGTTTAAAATTTCTTCAGCTTGGCAACCTAAATGGCAGCAAAGTCGCTTAATAAAGGGCAAAAAATTCGCTGTCACAACGGTTGCGTGTGTGGAGCCAAAGAACATAGTTTTTTCATTCCAAGTTCTCTATTTTTAATATTTAATTTCAAGTGCAGTATCCGGAGCTTCAAGAATTAGACTAACTTCGATAATAAATTATGCGTATTAGTCGAATATTAATTAAATTAAAGTTAACATAGTAAATTCATTAAATGAAATTAAAAGGCAAAAAGTTAAATCAACATTAAATCAAATAATTTAAAATCATAATATAAATTTTTTCATTTATAAGATTTAGTATGCTAGGTTTTTAAAATTAATTTTGTTGGGTGCGAATTTTTCCATGGAAGATACTCGACTTTACTAATTGGTGTGTTAGCGAGTGACCCGAGAACCAATGCAAGGATGTAGAGATAATGAGAGCATATAGAAGAAATACATTGAGTACTCGAGAGACTGTGAGTTTTAAGAGCTAAATAAAAGGCTACATATGAAAATTAAAACGGACAATGCTAGAAAGAATACCCTATATAATATTACACACTAGCCTAGACACTTGTTGCCACCTTATTGGTTGGAGGTTAAGTTTGGCAGAGCTTTGCTAAGTGACCTTCTGGTAAGCTCAATAATTTTGAGTGGGCTAGTGTATTAGGATGATTTTGCAAGTGCACTACAGGAAAATCACTTATTACCGGCGGAATTTTCCGGCGGCTTTCCGGCGGTCAGTTTTCCGGCGGCTTTCCGGCGGATTTCCGGCTGTTTTTGATGGCTTATTTCCTACAAAATTTTCCGGCGGCTTTCCGACGGCTAATTTCCGACGGCTTAATTTTGCGACGGCTAATTTCCCGCAAAATTTTCCCGCAGATTTTTCCGGCGGCTTTCCGACGGATTACCGGCGGCTTTGAGACTTATTTCCGACGGTTTCCGGCGGTCACATTTCCGACGGCTTTTCCGGCGGCTTTTTAACGTTTCCGGCGGCTTTTAAAAAATTTAAAGTAAATGAATACAATTTTAAGTATTTTTAATGATTTAACAAAAAATTATTAAAAATTATATTAACTATTTAATTAATTTTTATTTTAAAATTAATTAGTTAGTTGAATTTTTATTTTGTATTAAATATTATTTTTAGTTTTAAATTAATTAGTTTCATTTTTTGTGTAATTAAAAAAACGCCGGAAAAAACCGCCGGAATTTATTTTCCTACGCCGTTTTTTCCGGCGGTATTTAAACCGCCGGAAAGCCGCCGTTAAATTACAAAACCGCCGGAAAAGACTCAATTTTCGTCGGAAAAAGCCGCCGGAAATGGATGATTTTCCTGTAGTGGTGATCATTAATTTGAGGGGTGATAAGTGTAAATAAAGTATTATTTCAGTGAAAATATATTATTTTGGTTGTGTTGAGAAGGAAAATTATAAAAAATGCAAAAAATTCTAAGCATCCTCTACAAACATGGCATCGGACAAAGCAACATTGTAGCGCCATAAAAAAAAACAACTAGAGCGCCAAAACATTGACATGGCGGTGCCAACTTCTCTGTTGGATAGTGCTACAGCATCAAAATGGCTAGATTTGCACTGCCATGCTTTCTCTCTTAAAGTGTCTCAGTGACTCAGTGTTACAATTTATCACATCTTGGTGCCCAAATTTTCATTCTAGCACCGCAACATTTGAAAGTTAGTAGCATCGTGACATAGTAGTTGTAACTTCCAAAGGACATGACCTGTTAGCGAAACGAAGCGACTATTACTAAGTAACTTATCCACATCAAAAAGCATCGCAGCAGAACCAAAACAGTAGTGCATCCACTTTAGTTCACTTGTTCGGCGCAGCGACACCAGCCTTTCAAGAGCTTTAGTACCTGTTTTGCTTTGTGTTTTTCTATAAATAGTCACAGTGTTATATTTGTGAGAAAGTTCAAACACTTCTTTAATTTTAGTGTACTTCTCATAATCTCTCTTTTGGTGACATATAAGGAATTTAGTGAAGCGCTTGATACAATCATTTGAGAGCTTAATTCATGTTTGTTTGAGAAACTCAATACATTAATGAAGGAGTGTAGAGGAGATACATTGATACTTCTTGGTGATATTTGTTCGTCTATGATTTCAATGAAAATGAATTTGTTTATCATTTCTTCAATATATAGTTTGATTTATTATTATTAATATTAGTTTAATGTACATAGTGGTCATATGTATAGTTAATATCAAGTTTGATTTATAGCATCAATAGAGATATGTAAGAAATGTAAGGAACATTAAATTAGTATATATGTATACCTAGACAGGGGGTGTAAAATTTGCTAAGTTTTTAAAGAGATTATAAAACTATAGGAGGTTAGTATAAATCTTAAAGAGTATACTTAAGATATGTGAGTTATAATAATTATTATTATTTAAGTATCTAAAAAGTTGTACTAAAATCCAATAAATCATACATGTTCCCTACTCATAAATGGTGGATTTTTATTCTAAGGATAAAATGAGATTAAAATTTAATTATCTTAGTCAATTTCTAATGTAATGCATTCCAACTAGCACGTTAATTAAATTAGAATGTCAAGTTTTTAAATGGCTTATAAAATAGGTTTTATCCAAAAAGTAAAGAACACCTTGACTGTCTATTTCTACCCTTGGACAAGGAAGTGCCTAATAAGGAAAAAGAAGAGTTTAAAATAAATATGAATCATAGTCATTTCTCAACTTGCTTTCAAATATGATTTTCTTGATAAATTGTTACACCAAAATTTTATTATTTAATTACAATTTGCTAACTTCTCCTTGATAACTAGATATTTAAATTTAAATAGGTTAGCATCTCCCAAATAGATGGATTAAAATTTGACTAGGATAGTTTCTCCTAAATAATAAAGATTGAAATCTTAGCGAGATTGCGGCTCTTAAATAGATAGCTTTAAACTTGACTAGGATTGCTACTTCTAAATAAGTAAATATCTAAACCTAGATGGGATAACATCTTTCAAATAGATGGATTTAAACTAGACTAAGATAGTATCTCAAAGACAAGGAAGATTCAAAATCTGATTGAGATAGTGAATCCCAAATAGATAGATTTAAGCATGACTGTAATATCATCTCCAACATAAGAAATATTAGAATCTGAATGAGATGGCAGCTCTCGAATAAATTGATTTAAACTTAACTAGGATAGTGTCTTCTAGACAAATGGATATTGAAATATGGAAGGGATTACGTCTCCCAAATAGATGGATTTAAACTATATTTAAGGTTGTAAAATATCAAAATGGGTTTTATAGTTTTACGATATTCAAGGAATCTAAACCTTATGAACTTTAGTTTGAACTTATGATCTAGCCCTTATCTTCTGAACCCAATTTCTTTTGCAAATTTCTATACATTTAAGCAATTATGCAAAAGCAAATGAAAAGAAAATTTTATTTATTATCAAAATTTTCCTTTAACACTAACCACCATAATAGCACTTTGAATACCATTCATTTATAGGTAACATTGGAAAATCTCCTTTATAATCAAGAAACTTGTAAGATTCCCAAGTTGGTTCAAATTTACATCCAATCTTTTGATAGGCTAAGATATGTCTTCACAGAACCAAAATAAAGTCTCCTACATGGAAAGTTCTTAGATGAATCAGCTTGTCGTGTGCTTGAATCAACTTTTCTTTATATAACTCGAGATTCTGTTGAGCTTGTAGATGCTTTTCGTCTAATTAATTTTTTACATTCTTCTTTTTAGTGATCTTTTAGTTGACAGCTATCCATAATGAAGGTAATAGTACCTCCAAAGGGAGAATTACCTCTTCTCAAAATATCAAAGTAAATGGTGTTGATTGATTAGGTGTTTTATATGTGGTACTGTATGCCCACAAAGCCTCTCCTAACTTTTCATGCCAATGGAGTTTATTATCATCCATTGTTTTGTTTAGAATTTTAACTAGTGTTTTATTAAAGGCCTCAGCTAATCCATTTTCCCTGGAGTAATAGATTGTTGAGTATCTCCAATCAATGTTATACCATTTTGCAAAAGTATTTATTTTAATGCTTCTAATTGATGGGCCATTATCATATATAATTCAACGAGAAATACCAAATCAATATATGATATGGTCATTAAAGAAATTTAGAACAAGGTGAACTTTGACTTCCCTCAAGGGAACTGCCTCTGCCTAATTTTGAGAAGTAATATATAGCTGCTAAGATGAACCTGAGACTCTAGAGAATGGTGGATCAATTGGACTAAAGCAACGATTGGGTGTAACACATTTAGTGGTTGATATAGAACCACACCATGTACTTGGCATTGATGTCAACAACATACAACTTTCAAGTAATTGTCAATCATCAATGGCCATTATAATAACATTATTTTAATTTTTATGTTTATCTTTGAATGCAAATGATGTGCACCACGCAATATAGACTATACTTGTTCGATAATTTTAATTTATTTTATTTACTCAAAACCATAATAATGTTTGATCGAATAATTTTCGTACAAGGTTTCATTAATTAATGTATAAGACATGGATAATATTTTAATTTGATGAACCGTCGATTTATCATGAGGGAGCTTATTTTCTCACAAAAATTCAATGAAGGATTTTCTCCAATCCCCTACTTCATCATCTACTGCTAAAACAATTTTAACCTTGGTTGAAAATTTTTTGTTTATATAAGTCTAATGATGATAAGACTTGATGACCTCGTATTTTTATTGAAATTTAATCCCCTTTAGGGAAAACTAGAGCCTTGGTTAATTTTTCTAAAGCATCTACTATATAATTCTATCTATGAGGAATCTTGTACAGTATTACATTTTGGATTAAATTTTACTTTAGTACTTGCTAAATACCAACTAGCTTATTAGTCACTAGTTGTAAATCTACCATTATTTTACTTCTTGAATTTCATTTAGGAACATCAATTCTAGCTCTGTTATTAATGCCTAAAACTCAACTTCATTATTCATACAAGTTCCTGAAAAATAATAAGAGTAATACATTACACAATTTTCTAGGGTAATAAATACTATACTGATTCCAACCTTTTTTGGGAAATATGATCAAATGTTCCTTACTGATTAGAAGACGCATTATCAAAATAGATTTTTTAGATGAATTTTTTATTTATTTCTAGACTTAAAAATTATTCATTTTGTAGTTCATCATTGATTGGACAATCATCCTATATTAGGTGATCTGCTAGAAAATCTATCACACCTTACCCTTTTACTACTCGTAAATGAATGAATATAATATCAAATTATAACAATATTATTGACCATCTAGCTAGTCTCCTTGGCAATGTTGGATGAATCAGTAGATATTGAAATGAATTTACTCTCGATATTAAATTCACTTTAGGATAGAGCAAATAATGCCTTAGCTTTTGAGAGGCAAAGATTTAAGCCAAATAATGTTTCTCCATCAGAGGATAATTTACTTCAGTTGGAAATAAATATCAACTTTGATAGTATAGTGAATTCTCATTTCCATCCTCATTAACCTGAGCTAATGAGGTGATAAGAGATTCATTTAAAGTTGTAGCTTACTAAATCAGTAGCTTCCTGGAGTTGTCAAATACTATTTTATACTATCAAATACTTTCTAACAATGATAATCTCACTTGAAATGAATATCTTTTTTATATAAAGCTACAATCAATTGACATATGTATCAACCTTTAAAAGATCTTAACTATGTTGCGGTGGCATTTTTTTATAACTTTCATTTTTTTGGATCTATCTCAATTCTTCTATATCGGATACCAAAACCTAAAAACTTTATTCAAGTAACACTAAAAGCACACTTCAACATATTCATTTTAAAATTATGTATACATAATCCACTATAACAAAAAAATATCTTAATACTGGCGGCCCATATCCACCAAAAATTTTAAAAAAAAATCATTAAAAAATGAGCATTTATGGCAGAGATTTTCAACAAAAATGTAGTTGATGGTAAAACACGAGTAAGATACTTTATTCCGATGGATTCCGATGGAATTTTCCCATCAGAAATATTTCTGACAGATTTATCGACATAATACAAGCAGAATTGTGTCGCAATATTCGTCATTTACAAGGCATTTTTGCCGTTGATTTAGCCGCCAAAATTTTCAGAAAAATTATTTTGCTAGAAATTCCGATAGATAACCCGTTGAAAAATTCCACTGAACACGGACCAGCAAAAAATTTCTAACAGTTATCCACAAGAAGTTCTAGTGGAATTTATCTGTCGGAAATAAGATAAATTTTCATCGTATCCGACAGAAATCTACTGGAAACCTATAACAAAAATAAAAAAATAGCACTCCCTATTATATTTTCTATAACAAAATAAACCTCTATAAAAATATACTTATATTATATTCCTTCAAACATTGAACATAAATACATGCTACATGCACGTAATAAAAGATTTGATCACAACATTTTATTAAAAATTCACCAAACAGTTTTAAATTAAATAAAAAGTTCGATCGTTGCATAATTAAAAACAGACCATAAAATATACAAACATTGAAAGGAAACGTCCAACATATAAATGAAATGTCTATTAATTAAAAAATAAACTAACCAGAATCAGTCTCCTCCTCTGCTGATGCCCCCTACTTTACAGTGACCTGCTCCCTAAATTTTGCATCTCATCCAATATTTTACTTTGCATCATCTGCATCTGCATGTCAGCTTGTAATTTTTTAATTTAATCTATATCAACTGTAAGGGAAGCCAACTATTGTCTATACAACAACTCTTGTATACTTATTCACAAGTTGGAGCCACTAGATGTCTACCCCTAGTACGTATAGGCTTGCGAGCCTAAACTGTAAACTCGGTCTTTTGCATTCCACCTATCACTTGTGACCAAGTATGGTAGTCATAATAATCTGTTAATCCCCCAAAAAATCCCTCACCATCTTCGAGCTGGCACTCTCAAAGTCGTGTATACTCATTCTATAAAAGTTCATACAAGATTAAAGAATTTACACATGACACCTAAAATATAAAATTTCTATACTCACACAGGCTCTCCTTGCTCACTCATCAATCCATTGCTTGTCCCCTTAATGCTTGTGGATGCAACTATAAAACTCAACAATGGTTGGTTATCTATCTATCACCTCTGTATGCAATATACTTATATTAATATTCATATCTAAGTAAATTAATTAAATCTTTAAAATTTTTAACCAAAGGGCATATGTGCTCATTATGTGGAACTGAGCTCCTAATATGGAGGAAACTACACATGCCCCCAATATTAGAAGCTCAGTTAATGTGAATAAGAGAGTAATTTGAGCATGATTTGTTGCAATAATGATTAAAACTAATTGGAGCTGGTGTAATAAGCAATGAATGTAATGTGTTGTCTTATTCTCAGTGAGGAAACAATGTTTTCAACCCATTAAATTGAATATTAGGTGTAGGGGTGTCAATTTCGGGTCACGGGTCGGGTTCGGGTCGAACCCGAACTGACCCGAGTTCAAACGGGTCAACCCTAACCCGACCCGGGTAGACAAACGGGTCGAAAAACCGAACCCGGACCCGACCCGGCGGGTTGCCGGGTTGACACGACCCGACCCGGTTTGGGTGGCCGGCGCCGGAACCGCGGCGGCCGACGGCGGCGGACGGGTTGACCCGGCAACCCGCCGGGTCAACCCGAACCCGACCCGTTTTTTGAAACGGGTCGATTTCTGGAACCCGAACCCGACCCGTTTTGAAATCGGGTCGGATTCAACCCGGATTTTCCGAGTCGGGTCCGGGTCGGGTTTTCATGTCGTGTCAAATATTGACACCCCTAATTAGGTGTATATTCAAATATAAGAATTCACAAACCATGATCAAATGGAAGGTTCTCTAAATCTACTTCTAGATTTCTTGATGATTCAATTTCCATGTAAATTCTTTTTTATTTTGCTCGTCCTATTTGTTTGTCTCATTTGAAATCTTTGATAGCTTCTTAAATATTTATCTATAAAATTTGTGTCGCTGGGAGGGAATCACAAATAGGATGGAAGAACTATATTTTTTTAAGTTAGTTGAATGCTACGGAGCCATGTGTGCATGGACTCAAGCAATATTAGTCTTTTTATGATATATTTGACGTTCTGGACGCAACATCAAAATCTGTTTTATAAACATGCAACATTCAGGTAGTGACCATTAACTTTACATCCGTAATTCGTCGATTTTGACCGCCTTCGCCATAATTACGTATGTGAGATCTCCCATTAGATAAATTCAATGTCCCAAACTCATCGATAAGGTCTGTTTGACGATCAGAGGTCGTTTGAGTAGCTTGTATGATGTTGTGTCCACAAATAGTCGCTTACATTGCTTGAGTAAGTATGCATTATACACGGATGTCAACACGCATTTATTTTACGATCATCCAAACAACTCTGAAGTATTCATTTTAAAATTCATTTTCTTTTACGCTACATTCTTTTTATAATGCATTATTTTTTACATTGTATCCGTCTTTCAGAACCCAAAATGCCCCTTAATCAATCATCCCATCTTTTTCCTATTGTTCACCAAAAGAAAAATAAAAAATTGTATAACAATCACATCATATGAGCCATCCTGAAACGATATAGATTCATTTTTCTCAAGCATTTATTAAAATGATTTTTATCAGATTTCCCCTGGCTTAAGAAAATACAGCGAATATGTTGTTAGTTGTTTTATGATCACCGTGATGGTAAAATTATCATCTAAGAAACTATCATTTACAGGCCTTCAACAGTGAAAATGAATGACCTCCACTCCACTAAGAACGATCTTGACATAATCACAAGTACGTAGCCCAAATGAAAAGAACCAGGCAATGAAAAACAACTTTTGAGAAGGAATAAGTAAAACAGATTCCATCATTTTTTGCTCTTAAAGACCTTTAGTGAGGCAAACAAATTTCAGTTATCAATCGTCAGAAAGTGGTACCTCGGATTACAATACAATTACGCTGAAATCATCATCGAGTGGAATCCTCGACATAACTTTTCAATACAAGAAGAGAGGAAGAACTTGCCCAACGTACGAAGTGGCATTCATTAGCGCAATGCTCTTCGTGGCCACAAAGCAGGCACATGTGATTCATGGACAACTTTTATCTTATGACGGATTTCTGCAAGAATATAATAACAACGTTGCTTCGAACAGCATTTTTCTTGACACTTTCCAAATCTCCATAAATATACCATAAAAGAAAGGTCCACTCAGCTTAGCCATCTCCTCCAAAACAAAACGCAACAACTTCTTCACAAGAGAACTAGCAATTGAAGATGATATCACTTTCAGTACAGCCTCCAATACTTTAGCCATCTCTTCCAGAAGTTAAAAACATCTACCACTTAAAACTCCTGCTTCAATGTCTGGAAGACATAATTCCTCACCTTTTGCGAGCATAGAAAACCCATGGAAGAGACATAGAAGCTGGCTGCTGCACTCACCCAGAATGCTCCCACAGACATCCAGCCTTCCTCTACGAGATAACCACCGCTTCCTCCAGCAGCATTCCCAGCAGGCAACTTTGAAGCCTTTCCCTCACACTCTCTCACACCGCTCTCCACACACAGCCCAGGGTTCCCCGCAAACGCTCCTGGAAACCTCAAAAGGCCCTCCTCCCTCTTTGGAACCTGGCCTGTTAAGCAGTTATATGAGAGGTTCAGCGTCTCAAGCTCCCTCAGCTGTGAGATGCCCATTGGCACACTTCCAGTTAGCGAATTATGGGACAAATCCAGTCTCCTCAGCTTCCCCATTCTCTCCAGGCTCGCTGGAATCCGACCAACCAGGTGGTTGTGGGAGAGGTTTAGATATTCCAAACCTTTAAGGCCAATCAACCCTTGAGGTATTTCCCCATGAAGAGAATTGCCTGCCAAATCTATACCCACCGCTGAGGTTAGCTCATAATGCAGCTCCAGCTGCCGGCTGCCCTTAAAGTCTAGCATCCCCCACACAAAAGCATTCTCCCCAGTAAGACTTCCACCATGAAAAAGGAGGTCATGCTCATCTCCATTGAAGTCAGAACTTACATTAAAATCGCAACCAGGTATGTATCCAAACAGCTTGTTGTCAGATAGGTCAAGTGATCGGAGATACTGGAACGAGAATATCCAGTCCGGAAGAACTCCGGAAAGCTTATTACCTGCCAGCGAAAGAAGACGGAGGTTTTGCCACTTGAGGATGGCACCACTGAGCTCTCCTGCGATGTTGTTTGAGCTCAGGTCGATGACTTCCAATGACTTGCATCCCGCTAACGGCAGCGGAATCTCGCCAGAGATCCGGTTGCCCGCGAGATCAAGTATTCTAAGACTGTCTAGGGCATCCAGCTCCGGCCTGAGTGTGCCGGAAAGGTTATTGTGACTGAGCTTGAGCTGCCAGAGCTGGAAGCATCCTGCAAGGCTGATGGGTATCTGACCCGAGAGGGAATTGTGTGACAGATCAAGAGCTTGGAGGTAGGTGAGGTTACCGATGGCTGCGGGTATGTCGCCAGTGAGCTGGTTGTGGGAGAGGAACAACCCTAAAAGGCTTCTCAGTTCCGTTATCTCCAGCGGGATCTCGCCAGAAAACTGGTTGTTGGAGAGATTGAGCAGTAGCAGCGCCGAGCGCGCCGAGTACTTGACGATTCCACGGGGTACTGGGCCGGAAAGAGCGTTGGAGCTCAGATCAAGAACTAGGAGCCGATCAGAGAAGATGAGCCTTGGTGAAATACTGAACTCAAAGCCATTGGAAGAAAGATTCAGCAAGGTTAACGCGCGAAGAGATGAGATGCACGTGGGCACGGCGCCAACGATGTCGTTTCCGGCGAGGTTGAGGACAGAGAGGGAGTTAGATGACGCCCAGAAGCAGGGAAGAGTTCCAGAGAGCTGATTGGAGGCCAGATTAAGCGAGATAAGCGGCTGGGAGAAATCCTTCAGAATACCCACTAAGCGGTTGTCAGAAAGATCGAGCTCTCGAAGGGAGCCCAGGTCGTACAAACTTACCGGAATCTGTCCTTCGAGGGAATTCGAGCTAAGTTCAAGCTTCGAGAGAGCTGAGGAGAAGTTCCCGATCCATTCGGGAATCTTGCCACCGAAACTGGGGTTATCAGAGAGAAGCAGCTTCTTGAGGCGGCAGAGCCTCGCTAGCTGAGTGGGAAGGGGGCCGCGTAGATGGTTGCAGCCAAGGTCCAGGGTTTCAAGCGCGTGGAGACGGCCGAAACAAGGAGGGATGACACCGGAGAAAGCGTTTTTGGAGAGGATTACGGTTCTGATGAGGGGGAGTTTGCAGAGGCTCAGGGGAAGGGAGCCCACGAGACCAAAGCTGAAGAGGTCGAGGGCAACGACGCGGCCAGTAGCTTTGTTGCAGGAAACACCTGCCCAGGAGCTGCAATTAGAGCCATTCCAGCTTGAGAGGCTGCCCCTTGGATCGGTCGACGGGGAACGGAGCTTCACCAAGGATGCCTTGTCGTCGGGATGGATGACGGAATCGGCGGCGAGAGGAGGAAGCGAGGACACCGAGCACGCGATGCATATGATGAGTGTGAAGATCAGTCGAGGCATGAAGTTTTAGGGTTCGAAGTCGAAAACTAAGTTGAGGCGGGGCTAATACAAACCGCTCACACCGACGGGGCAGGCAATAAGCACTATGAATTACACTCTTAATTTTTGGACAGCTGTTTGCTGCATTGATAAGGGACATATCAAATAAGAAATTTTTAGAATATTTTAATATTTTTTATGTTAAAATAAAATTATTTTTATCTTATTTTATGATAAGAGTTCCGAAAAAAAAATTAATATATGTACATTATTTGAGGTTATATTTGTTGCAAGTATTTGTAATTTTACAAGTTTTATATTAATTAAAAATTAAATTAAACTATTAAAAATATATTAAATTAGTAGATAAAATAAAATTATATTATTAATAATGTAACAAAATTGTCAGGCATCTAATAGTTTTGTTAGTATGAGAGATAATACATGACATACCTAATTAATAACATGTGTCACAAAAACATTATGTTATTATGAAATATTTTTCTAAGAAAATTTTTATTGACCAAATTTTTGAGATCATATTTATAAATATAGTGTTTGTGTTGAATCAAGATTTATCACTAAAAGATACCACATCTGACCAACATGCATGCATAAGAGACTAGAACTAGTAGACCTATCGAAAATATGAAAATACGAAAGAGATTCTTGGAGGAAAGACTCTTGCTTGCTGAACTAGTCTAAAAGATTCAAAATATGTGTGTTATTTATAATGATTTAAGGACTACAATAAAGACTACCATCATAAAAATAATAATATAATGAAATAATAAATGAAACCCAATGCACATAGATCTAGACATGTCACTTACATAGATAGGTAATTTTCATTATACTAGTATAAATGCACGTGCACATGGTGCACGTTAGTAAAATTTTATAAAATAAAAATAATTTCATAAATTTAAAAAAAAAACTCATGTCATATTATATAGCTATATTAAATGCTAGATGAATATTACATCTAATATTTATATGCTTATAAATTATTTATACATAATTAATAGGCATGTAAATATCTATTATTCTTCAAATATATTCATTAAAGTTAAATTAAATATAAGAATTATGTTTATGTATAATGTGAGGGTTCCCAACCACATAGTTGTAAGAGTAGTGATTGACCGATATATTGACGGAAAAACATAATTAGGAAGTGTGGCTCCGAGGTGTAGCTCTATTTGATTTTGCAAATTGCGTAGGGGCGGCAAGGAGTCCGGTAGTTCATCTGGCCAAATATCAGTATACCGTTGTAGCAGCGTTTGCACCTCCAAGGGAAGTTGGTTCCCAACCACATAGTTGTAAGAGTAGTGATTGACCGATATATTGACGTTACATGCTCATGAAATTGTGACTGAAAATAAAAAGAAAGAATTTCTTTTTCAAATTATTAAGAAAATATATAATTTGCAACCAAACTATTTAAAAATAATGATAAGTGCAAATTTAATAGAGAATTTCGATATAATTTTATTAACTCACAAACATGAAAAAAAATAATGAGAAAAGAAAGAGTTCTCACCATAAAAGATGGGCTATGGCCCATGGCCGAGAACTCACGGAAGAATTAGTCGGAGCAAGGCATGTTGGGCTATCTACGATAGGCCAAGTCGTTTGAAGGCATTAAAGAGAAGCTTTGAGCATTAGAATCCATATATGAGCAAGAAGAAGCATTCAAACAAAAATTAAAGAAAAGTAAATTAGTACCAATAAATATCAATCACTTCGCCTAATCTAAGCAGAAAAGAACAACTTTCAATGAAAAAAATTTACCAAAAAATAGGAAAAAAAAATCAATGAGTGCGTTACATGACTCAGCATATTGTTCATTATTAAAAATTTTAAAAAGTACTAAATCAATATGATAAGAGATGAGCAACCATAATTTTGACCATTTCTTGAATGAAATATGTATCTATGAAAGTTCAGAATTGCTCCCAATAAAATTGCTCTTACCATTTCTTGAAAGTCCAACGCCTATCTCACTTTTCTAGAAGCCAAAGAACAATTAATGTGTATGGTTAATGCTTAAATAGCTAATTAAGGAACAGTCCTTTTTCTCATTGCTAATTCTCAAGAGAATGAAAAAAACACAGATTGTGTTTCTTTTACCTAAAATTTTTAACAAACACAATAGGTATAGATCCTTTCTTCACATGCATATGTAGAGTCATAATAGGAGAAGAAGCTTCTTTAGCATCTATTTCAAAACTCTCCTTCATGCTAAGCTGAAGAAAAACTAACAAGGCAAAGAAGCTCCTTTAGCAACTCTTTCAAAATTATCGTACAGGTAGAATTGTACCAAGTATTGTTATTGACATACCTATTGCAGTCATCTTCGTAGCCTTTCACCATCCATTCCCTTTAATTTGCTCTTATTTGTTTATACAATAAGTGTGATATCAGAACAAAACTTCATTTTATAAGTGAATAATGGCTTAAAACCCAAAGGTAACAGCAAAAAGGATAAACTTACAGGAAGAAGGCGAAGATGAAGAGTTTAGTTTCTTGCTGTGGTGGGATTCGAAGAGGTGAAACTTTAATAGGATAATTTAATTTCGACGAAGGTAAGATTTATGAAACATAAATATGTTAAACTCAACGGACGTATTATTTAAAATTAATTTAATATGAGACTATGTAATAGGTATTAAATATTTAAATTGCATAAGCATTTTTTTTAATTTTTTAATTATTATATTTTATTAAAAATAATTAAATGCATTAATTGGCTCTTACTTAAATGCAATAAATATAAATAAAATGAAAACGTTATGTATTTAAATGAATATAAATGAAGTTAATAAATATGTTAATTAAATGTATAAATAAAATGAAAGGTTGAGATTCTTTTTTGATAAATTAAATGAAAGGCTAGGATAACCGATAAGAAATTAATATATATTTAAGCATTAAGTAATTTATTTAGAAATCGATACTTAAATGAAATATTAACAGGTTAAATGGAATTGAGGGAGAGAAACTGAAGTGTGTCATTGAGAAGAATAAATGTATTTACTTGAGGAAGTAAAGTAGCAAAAGGTGCAGAATAGGAATAGGGGAACAAAATATAGGGAATATGAAGGGACGTTAAAATTAAATGAGTTTTATTAAATGCAATTTTTTTTTTATTTATTAAAACATACAGTGAAGAATAGAAATAGGAAAACGAAACTTAAGAATCTCAAGGGGCGCTAAAATTAAATGAGTTTTACATAATATGAATTTTTTTATTTATTAAATATTTTTAATAGAATGGACGGCCAAGATAATTAAAAAATAAGTATAATGGATGAACAAGATTTGCCGGAGGAAGGAAACTCAAGCCCCTTTTATACTAGTAGTATAGATATATATATTTTTTGTTTGACTCTTCAACCTCAAAGCGAGTTCTCTAGTGACAAGTGTTTGTGAGTGAGTTAGTGGAGCCAAATTATCAAATGGATTGACCCAGAGGGACTATTGTTGACATGTTCTTTGGTTGCACTATCGACATCATCAGTGGCGGAGCCAGAAAATTTATCAAGGGGAGGCCTAAATTATTTTAGTAAAATTTTCCTTCAACTTTTTTCACCCAGGCTTGGATAGAAAGTTTTCTCCGAACTTCATCCCGAATATTAGGATTAAAGTCAACAATGGGAATTCGTAGTCCTTGATCAAATGGAAGATTTTCAACACTTACTTCTATATTGTTGGGTAAATCAACATCCACTCAAATACGCTTTTCTTTATGATCTTCATCCTGATTGCTGTTGTCATTTGAAGATTTTAAAATTGAAGATCGTTTGAAATATCTCTCCATAATATTCCAACTCAAAGATGCCTTAAGATTAATCTGATTATATATCTATTAAAAAATCAAAAAATAAAACTTATAAAATCAACCTTATAAATGCAAATAAACAAACAATAATACTTGTAAAATAAAAAAGAAAAAGAAAATAGATTTGTTCCTTTGCAAATTTCGGCCAAACATCCAAAAAAATTTCTCAAATTTTCATTTTTTTCACTTCGACAAAATTTAAGTGTTTGTGCTTCAAAAGATTCCCGTTCTATAAAAATGATATATAAATTTATAGCTTTGATATCATATTTTACTTCAAGCAAAAAAATAAGGCATGATTCATCTTTTCATAAAACTAAATTAATATTAGTTTTTCTACCAGTAGAATGAAAAATTAAAAAAAAAAAAAAACCTCTAGGTTGTGCAAGAGAAGATGTGGCTATGAGAGAAAAAATAATAATAAGGCGTGAAAATGTTTCTCACTGATTTTTGAAACGATCTCTGTTTCTTACTCTTGTTTGCAAGACATAATATTATAATAATGAGTGAAGGCGTGAAGCTGCAGCTGCGGGATTGCGAGAGAAAATGCGTCGTTGGTAGCGCGAAGGGCGTGCGAGACTGCGGGAAAGGGCCGAATGAATGAACTGGTAAGCCTTTTTTTTTTTTACTTATTTCACTAACCAGCCTAAGTGCCTAACCCACGTGCCCCCCCTTGCCCCCCCTCCATCCGCCCATGGACATCATAGATGGAGTCCTTAAGGAATCTTGGCATGAAGAGCATGTCCACGAGTGGTGGGGATTACAAACTCGTTGTCTTGTTGAGTGTAGGGAAAATTGATTTGAGTCTTTCTAGCGATAATCCTTCCCTGCAATTGGGTTAAAATTTCATTGGTGGCTTACTACTCGAGGTGATGGCTAGTTGCTTTGAGGGTGTTGTTCTCATAAGGGACAAGTTTTCCAAGACTAAGGGATTACTAGACAAATCTTACATGTTTCCCTGAGATGTAACACCCATTAAATTATTTTATCATGCTAAAAACAATCACCCTTGGAGATGTCTTCACTACCAAAGACTATGTGGTTTGAGTTATCCCGTTGGGACCTACTAAATACATATCAAGCCCCTCAGAGGGCAGCTAAAAGTATACATATAGCTCAACAATTTACTCAGACCTTTGGAGGGTAGAGCAAAAATGATAAGTGAAATAATGAAGAGCATTTATTATGGATATCAAATAACTAAAAGAAATGTGAATATAAAACTACCTTATTTTTTACTATATCCATAGCGTTGATTCCTTATGATGACAATGA